CGTAAGGTCCTGAGTTCGATTCCCGGTACCAAAAAAAAAAAACCAACAACCCAGGGCCTGCATATGCTACACACATGCTCTGCCACTGAGCTACACCCCCAATTCCTGGGCTTACCTTTAGTGTATCAGCTATCCTGCTATTGTGAGCAACAGAAACTATTTCACATATTATCTCTTACCTTTTTGTATTTCAGCAAGACTTCTGTCACAGTTCCACCAAACCGAACAGTTTTTCTTGGAGGAGAATTGAAGAAATCATTCTTTAATGCAAGCATATCTGAAATCCTATAAACCAAGATTACCAAGCTATTACATTCATTAGAGTGAATAATACATCCAGGGCTAGGGATGTAGGTCACTAATGCAGCACTTGCCAAGAATACAAGAGGCCATGGGTTCAATCCCCTGAACCACAGAAAAATAAAATAACCAACATTTACTGAAACAATGTCATCAGTAAGACTATAAGGCATGACAAAAATGTGTGGGTAAACATTTAAGTTATCCCATTATTCTTGCCAATTTCTGAAGCAGTTCTGGGAAATCATCTTTTGTTTTTCTGAAATGTGATTAGAAAAAGAAATACAGTGATTGCTACTGCTGAGTACCATGTAACAAAAAGGCAGGCTTGTAAAAATACTATGGTGTGTCCTCATCCACTTTATTCACTGGATCTGGCACCATGTGACTTCTGGACCATAAGGTAAATGCTCTGAATTGATTGATGACACAGAGGCAGTCACAACAGCAGAACTAAAGAAAAAAAGACTAAAACTGGTGCAGAAAGTGGCAAGAATGGTGGGATAACTGTGCTCAAAGCAAGGGTGAGTGTTTTGAAGGGACTGATGGCAAAGTGTCTTTTTTTTTTTTTAAACAGGGTTTCACTTTGTAATTCAGGCTGCCCTTAAACTCACTGTGTAGCCCAGGCTGGCCTAGAACTCACAGTGATCCTCCTGCCTCACCATCCTGGGAGCTGGGATTTCAAGAGTGCTGCACAGTCCAGTGGCAATGTATCTTCAACATAATATTTTCTGTATTTAAACATCCACCGTATTTTTCAGTCACACTATGAATGCATGCTATAATTTCTTAAATGGGCTCTCTTTTATTTATCCCTCTTTATTCCCCAATAATCCATTCATTCTGCCCAATAATCCATTCTCCACTCAGTAAAAGTAGTTTTCCAGATGCATGTAGAAAATGCATCCAAGTTTCTACATTAACCATACAAAGTCTTATATCTGGTCCCTGTCTACCTCTCTGACCTCATCTCTAACCACTTGTTTTACTAAAAGCAGTGTCCTTTCTGTCTTCAAGCCTGTCAGTCTGGTTCCCATTTTACTTACTGTTCACACTATCATAAGCAATCCTCTCAGATTTATACCAGGTTAGATTCTTACCTACATTCAAGATGAAACTCAAATGTCAAGAGGCCTTCCCACCAGAAATCTACTGTACCCATCCTCTCCTCCATCCTTCCATTACTCTGTTCTATTGCTGTACTTCTTCACAACACTTATAAATATCTCATTGGTTTATTTACTAGCCAATTTATTGTCTCTCTCATACTCACACACACACGTACACAATAAGCTCTGTTGAGAAAAAGACTGCTAAGACAGTCTCAGGACAAACCTCTGCCCCCAGTGTCTCACACTGACAGCATACACTTAATGGACAATTGTGAATATTATGCTATGTGTTTTACAAGGTCTGCTTTACTTAAATACAGGTTAGTGAAAAAAAAGGCAGCATCCTACTGATTCTGAAGGTTAAACTCCGAAGCGTTTTAAGGGAGAGAATCTTAAAAAAGTTAAGCCTGATAAAGACTACTGAATGTGTCCAAAGAAATTTCAAGCTAACATTTTAGGTTTCGGATGTGTCATCAATGACAGCACTGAGCTGAAAAATTCATGGTCCAAAAAATCCCTTCCAAATCTAGATGAAGAAGCGGAAGGGAAGAGTAAAGAAGCAAGAGGCAATGCCCAGGCCTGACACTGAGAGGCATCCAGAGTGGTGGATGGGTAAGAGATTGGAAAGAACAGATTAATTTATGTCCATTTCCTTTACACACAAAGGGGGAACCAGGCCACTTTCGCGAACCCGACATGACTACTCCCTGCTACTACCACACACAAGGCATGTGGTTTATTCCACACTCCTTTAGCTTCGTCCCAGACGCTCAGATCCGCTCCCCTAACTCCAGTCCCAGACCCGCAGACGGAAGAAACCCGAATTTTACCCTGTCCTTGACGCGGCCAGCGTCTTTATCGTAGTTGCTGAAGCTGGCGCATCCGCGGGGAGCCGCGTGCGAAGCAGCGGAGCCGCCATCCCTCCGGAGACGAGAGACAGCTGAGCCTCGCAAAGGAAACCGTGCTCCTTCCAGCTCCCGCCTCTGTTCCGGAACTCGTTCTTGCGAGGCGCGGTCTTCAGCCAATCAGGGTACCCACATGGGGAGAGTCTATGGTCAGTGAGCTAGAGCGCCACCAAAGCCTTCCCCGCCCCTCCCCGCAGAAGCTTTGGAGGACTTTCCTCTCCCTGTGCGCGGCCTACGCTGGAACATCGAAGAAGTGCTAAGTGTGTCCGGGCTCCCGCGGTTATCAGGCTTTTGTTTTGTTTTGTTTTGTTTTGTTTTGTTTTGTTTTGTTTTGTTTTGTTTTGTTTCCCTAGCACTGAAGATTGAACCCAGCCAGTGCCTTGCACTGAGCTACATCCCCACCCTTTCAGAAAATTTTTAATTTTGTTACAGGGTCTACCAAATTTGCACTGGCTAGGCTCCAATTTAGGTGTCTTCTGCCTAAGCCTCTCAGAACGCTGGAATTACAGGAGTGCGCCCCCAAGCCGGCTGAGTATTACGTTTTTGGGAGTCTAACCACCCTCCACCAAACAGAAAGAATGAGAACTTTTTTTTTTTTTGGCTGTCGGAATCGAATTCACGACCTCACACTTGACAGGAAGGTGCGGTGCCGCTGAGCTATATCCCCAGCCCCTGCATTTTTTTTTTTTTTTTTTTTCTTTTGAGATGGTCTCTCCTTGTAATTCAGTCTGGCCTTGAACTCATTATATAGTCCAGGCTGGCCAACTCACAGCGATCCTACTGCTTCAACCTCCCAAGTGCTGGGATTATAGGCCTGTGCCACCACGCCAGGGGAGACCATATATGTGTTAGGTCCCTCACATTGTACCCTGACCAACTTGAGAAAACTGTTGACAGACAACCAATCTGTTCAAACAGAAAGACCCTCACTCAGCTTGAGAGAGTAACGTAAATCTGTTTATCAGGATGGTTCCCAGGCCTAGTTCTCAGGCTTACAGGAAACCTCATAAGTCTACGGAATGCAACGTGCCGATGTCCTCCTGCACTTCCCTCCCCCAGAGGCACCAGACCCACCAATCACCCCTAAGAAACTTAAAATTTTTACTTTCCTCAGTGGAATTTCCCCCTTCCATACCTAAAATAGTCGATAAAGTAGGCCCCCTTCCCCTTTGTTCGGGACCAATGGCTTTTTTGCCCTTTACCCAGCCTGAAATAAAAATAGTGTTGTTTGCTTCAATCCTGACTGTACTAGTGGTCTCAGTTGCTACTCGAGTCTAGCCTGACGATATATATACATTTTTTTTTTCTTACCAAAAATAGAACTCAGGACCTTGTGCTTGCCGGGCAGGCTCTGTGCTGCTGAGCTATATCCCCGCAAGACCATATTTTTAACCCAAACTCTCACAAAGGAGCAAGATTCCATCGGGATTGTGTGACACAGAGCCTGGAGTCTGTAACACTGTCCATCCTTAGAGACACCAAAGAGAATTTTATCCTCTCGGAAATGCTGTGCACTCCCAGAGATTTACCAAGAAGCTTCAGGCTGTGGTGAAAAAATCAGAGGGAAAACATACTTTTCTCACCTGACCTCTATCTGAGGATCAAAACTGGGGCCTGGTGCATGCCCGGCAAGTGCTTTACCACTGAAACCCAAAACATAAATTGGTAAAGGAACAAGTCAGCCAGACTACCACAGCAGAGAAGGGTTTTCCAGGCAAAGGGAGCAACAGAAGCCAGAGCTTGGAAACTGTCACTCCCCTTAGTTCTTTTTCTGAGACAGAGTCTCATTATGTGATTCAGGTCGGCCTTGAACTCACTGTATATCCTAGGCTGGTCTTGAGTTTGCAGCAATTTCTCTGCCTCAGCCTCCCAAGTGCTGGGATTATAGGTGTATGCCACCACACCCGGCCCCTTAGTACTCAAGGTTAAATGGAACTTTCAAAAACTGTAGAAAACTACTTATACATAAACCAGTTACAGCAACTTGCTAAATATAAAGCATAGCTATGTGGTGCAATAGTGTAAAGTCAGTAAGTTTCTGCTGTCTCCATTTGGTACCACTGTTTAGAATGCCTGTGAAATAAATGCTGAGCAGAAATCGTGTCCCAAAGCAAAGAAAATAATTGCACTGTAGCTCACAGGGGAGCTTCAAGATGACTTTTTTTGCAGTAATCTCTCTCCTTGCACCCCCAACAAAGCAAAGGAAAATAAATAAATGCAATCCATAAGTACAATTCATATTAGAAGTGTAACTAAACTGTTAATTCAACAATTACACTTTAGTCTTTCATTTTAAAAGTTGAATATACCCAAAAGAATGTAATTTTTTTTATGAACACCTGTGACTATACCTTGCAATTTAAGAAACAGTGCTATGCACTATGGGTGGTGCATTCTTGTAATCCAAGCTGCTCTGGAGATTGAGGCAGGAAGACCAAAAGTCTGAAGTCAACCTGGGCAGTATAGTGGGACCCTGTGTCAAAATAAAATAAACAGGGCTAAGTAATGTAACTAAGTACAAGGCCCTGGGTTCAATCCTCTACTCCCAGAAAAGGTAGGGAGGACAGGAGGGAAAATCTTAACCAGAGCTTTGGAAGCTTCCTAAGTGCTCTTCCCAGATCCCATTTGCTCCTTGCTTTTCTCCCAAAAGTAATCACTATGCTTTCATTTTACTAAGATGATTTAAAGACTTTTTTTTTTTTTTTTTGGTTTTTGGTTTTTCTCCGGTACCGGGAACCGAACTCACAACCTTGCGCTTGCCAGGCAGGCGCTTTGCCGCTGAGCTAAATCCCCAGCCCCTTACTAAGATGATTTAAAAAAAAAAACTATTTCAAATTTTCTTTTGGTAGACACCATATCTCTATTCCTAAATAAAGCACTATTTTTTCTTTCTTCTACCTTACCTCCCTCTTTACCCTTCCTTCTTTCCTTCCTTTCCTCTCTTCCTCCTTCTTTTCTTCCTTTCTTTATTTTTTCTTTCTGTGTGTGCTTAAAGATTAAACCCAGAACCTTGCAAAGGCATGTGCTGTACTGCTGAGTTACATCCCTAACCAGTAATGCACTATTCATTTTGCTTGTCTTTGAATTATAAAATTATTTACATGCTACATTATACTGCTATTTGTTTTCAATATTATGCTTCTAAAATCTACTTCCTTGTATTATGCTTTATTTTCTTTGTTATATTACATGGTATTATTTGAATATACAAAACAAAAAAATTTTTTTTGGCAAAAATGACTGTTCCAATACACATTCCTGGCAATACCCCTTCATAAGCTTGGACATAGCTGCTTATTTTCAAAAAACACAAGACTGTACTGCCATGTTAAAATTAAAAGTTTTTAAAAACATAACCTTGAACATAACACAAGAAAAAAACCTAGATCAAGGACTGGAATTGTTGCTCCACAGTAGAGTACTGGCATAGCATACAGCACTGGGTTCAATACACATCCCCCTAAAAAACCCACTTAAAACAAAGTAACATAATCCACTGCTGAAGTTCTTTAGTCATATCCTTTCCTTGGGCCTCTATTCAGTTAGCTCATTCCATTGGGCAACTCATCTTCCTCAGATAAAAGCCACTTTAATGCAGTTTTCCCTTCCACAGAGGCCCATTTTCCTTTGTCACCTGTCCTAACTGAAGAAAAATAAAAATCCTCTCCTCCAAGGCTGGGCTTGGTGGTGCATAAGTGTAATCCTAAGACTAGGAAGGCTGAGAGAGAATAGCTTTGAGTTCGAAGCCAGCATAGGCTACAAATTGAGTTCAAGGCTAGCCTCAACTGTGTAGAAAAACTCTGTCTCAAAAAGACAAAAAAAAAAAAATTCTCCTACAAAATTCAACACCAAAACCAAACAAATGTTAGTGTTCTAACTGAAGAGAGGCAGCCTTGCCTACAATGTAGCCATCTACTTACATCACTGTGTGTTGCAGTTGTTGGTAATTGTTCTGAACGTTATTCTAAAATAAATTTTTGCTTTATCTTCATATACTCAGAAGATCTATTAAACTCTATTCTCAAAAGAGTTGTCTTCCCTGAGAGATGATTTTTAACAACCATTCCTGGGGTAGTTCAGTTGGTTAAAACCTCCTCCCTTGCAAGTAACACAAACAAATTCTAGCTAGTTTAAGCCGAAAAGGATAATGATTCTAGAGATATGTGGCTATTGTCAGGTATCCAGAATTTCTCATTGGTCAAATTTGGGTCTAGTGCCCACCTGAAATAACTTAATATTGAGTAGAAAACTGGGTTCCTGTATGTGTCCTAAACTGACTGGAGACACAGAATCAGGTGCTTCACAAACTGTCGACCCTGCAGTTTGTGTCTGGGTTTTTCCTGTACCCCGAACTGCCTGGGGGCATAGGTCCACTGGACCAAGATTGTCACACCAGTGCAACCCGAGTCTGGGCCGTGCATGTGCCCTAAACTGCAATGGGACGCTGGATCAGACAGTCTGCCATCAGCTGACACCAATGCCCATGTCAGAGACTGGGGATAACTAACTAGAAATCAACAACTGCCGGAAAACCCCAGACTAAGTAGTGCTTCTCAGGGGTCACTGAGGGGCAAACCTGACCAACAGGAAAACTAGGGACACTAGTGGCCTTCACTGTGCAGCCACTGAAGAGGGAAACTGGGCTTTCTGCATCTGGTGTCAAACATGACAAAATGAAGGACTAAAACACAATTCCAGAACTCAAACCCACTCAGAACAAGTCCAGGAGACATCGACATAGGAGAACTTGGTAAACACATGCCTGAAATAGCTGAAATGATTGCAATGGAAGTAAAGAAACAACTCCACAAGGTCATAGAAGAGATGAGATCAGAAATAATCTCGCAGGCAAAAAAATGAAATGACAATAATAATGAAGGAACTGCTCAGAAAGTCTAAAGAAGAAACACATAAGCACACAGAAAACAAAGGCAAGGGACAGAAGCATTCAATGAAAAATATAGAAAGGACTTAGAATGCATGAACCAGATTCAAAGAGACTTCCAGGAAAACAAAGTTGCCACTGAAAGCTGACAAAACCACTTGAATGAAGCTGAAGATAGAATCTCAGACTTTGAAGACAGCATGGCAG